GATTTAGTTGTGGCTTAGCTTGTGTCCTAGCATCCATGTTAAATTTGAAATCTAACTATTTAAGTGTTGTAATATGAGCGGCGGGGCTGCGTCCCCAAGCACCCCAGCCGCCTGCTATCTTATGCCCCGAAATAATTACACGGGCATTATATTCTTTTAAACACTGCTTGGCCCATTAGCTCTAGCCCTTACTGGCTAATTCTGATATCCCAATCAACCCATCTCTAATAAACTGTGTAGCACCCATCTTACTGGGAAGGATTCAGCATGTCTGACCTGGCGGCTTCCTTCATCACGTGCATCTGCCTCAGAGAGCAGAGCTATCGCATCTGCCCGGGAGAGGGGAGCATGGTGTCTCTGAGCTCACTTTCTCTTCCTCCCAGCATTCTGTTCTGTTTACTCCACCCACCTATGTTCTAACCTATCAGGGCAAGCAGTTTCTTTATTTAATTAACCAATAACCTTCCTCCATCATTTAAGTTCCTTGCTTTCAGCCTACATATGTTCTCCTCTGATCAAAGAAGGGAGTATACAAATATTTGTAGATCTGTGGCTATTGCCTTCTGTCCTTAACTGCTCAGGGGTGAAGGTGGGCTGGTTGCCGTACCCCAGTATGTGAGCACTGAGGTTACTTTTATTTGATCAATATTTCACTACCTGAGAATGGAGATGGATCAGGTTTCTTGTTAAGTTTAGTTTCTTGATGGCTTATTAGCCATGTTTAACCAAAAGTAACGTTAGACATTTGTCCTAGCAAAATCTTCTTTAAAATATTTTGAGATTTCTAATATTTTCCAGATATATATTGAAAATTTTGGGGGGTGGGCTGGGTGGATGTTTCCATAGCAAAGGTGCTGGCCATGCAAGCATGAGGTCCTGAATTCAAATGACCAGCATGCAAAAGCTAGATATGGTGGCATCTGCCTGTAACCCCAGCAATTCCTGACCGCCCAGCCTATCTGAAAGGGGCAAGGGAATGCAGTGAGAAACCCTATCTTAGGGCAAAAAGATGGCAAGCTTTATGTGGTGCCTGCTCAGGCAGTGCCCATACATGCATATACCACACACCAAATGAAACAATAACTAGATTAATTTTACTCTACAAAGATATAAAGTCGCATCTTGAACACTGGGTCTCTGGGCAGAATATCAGTGGAATTCCCCCTAGGTGTCATCTGGCACAGAAGGCTTCCAAGGGAGAAGGTCAAGGTTAGTTTAAGGAGTTTGATGGTGACATCTGCTTGGAGTGGAGTCATCTTGGTGTCTGTCTGGCACAAATCGGTAGACTTTTCCTTGCTTACATAAACTGTTGTGGTTTTCCTTTGTCTCTTAAAGAGTAGATACATCTTAGATGAAACTCTTTTCCTTGAGAAAATTATTCCTTGAAAATTTTGGGGGGTGGGCTGGGTGGATGTTTTCATTAGACAGGGAAGGAAGGAAAAAGGTGGACACTGCCTGAGAAATGACATCCTACTAAAGCCTCTGCCCACCATAGCAGCAGGCATACATTTTAGGACACACACCTGTGGGGGAGAGGGGAGAAGAAAGGGGGAGGGAGGGAGGGAGGGAGAGAGAGAGAGAGAGAGAGAGAGAGAGAGAGAGAGAGAGAGAGAGAGAAACAGTTATCATTTAGCCAACTATGCATCCAGAAAATGGATGATTGGATCTTAGAAAATACATCAAAGCCTTCCCATGTAAACACATGTAAATCTTATGATAAAGAACAGGAATGGAGTGCCCAAGGTCAGTGGCACACAATGGTGGGTCAGCTCCCCATCTGGAGACTTGAAGGAAGTTGTGTTCACACACTGCAGCCAAGATCTGGGTTCCTGAGCAGATATCATGGAGGTCAGGCTAGTGATCGAGCAGGTGGCAAACTTTTAGACTAGCCGCTGAAGAGACTGAACACAGAGTAAAGGGGCCGCTTACAGTGCTGTTGAGCCCACCAGCGCCTCCCGGTAGACACTTGGTCACGCGAGCCTGCTGGCTGAGGCGCTGCCTTTCATTGGATACAATTGCGTTTCTTTGCTGTTTTCCTCCAGAATGTGTTTCTTCTGCAGTATCTGGCCTCTCCTGTCACTTTACGCTTGCTAAAAGATTTTTTTACTGTGAAATATAAAGCGTTTATGAGTTAAAAATAATACAGACGCTATAACTGTGCATAGACACTTAGTCACTGTTGGGTGTTTAGTGTAGCGAGAAGGTATGGCCTTCAGCATGTTGGCAGCCGAGATTTTGCTCCTGTGGGAATGGTGTGAGTTGTGTAAGAGTCCTTTGGGTAACAAACAGTACTCACACCCTCATCCCTACCAGAAACTTCAAGTTACATTTTTTTAAACTTTAAAACATTTTTATATTTGAAACTGTGTTCGTGGCCTCCTAAGGTATATCATTAAGTAAGCTATACAGAGGGCCCACTCCCACTTCCTTTCAAAAATTTTAGCAGTTGTGGGCTGTGGAGATAACTCAGCAAGTAAAGGCACTTGCCCTGAAGCCTGGTGACCACTGTCAATCTCTCAGGAGCAAACCAACTCCAGCATATATGTGTCACAGCATGCATGTGTGTGCACGCGCACACTGATGTTTTAAAAATAAAAATATAATCATTATAGGAAATCTCAATGCTACATAGGGAATCCCTGTCTCAAAAATAATAATTAATTAGCTAATTAAAGATATGTCATTTTTCAACAAGTTTTAAGAATCTATTCAAAATTACAACTATTGGATAGGTAATAATTGCTGGCATGTATCATATTAGCACGTGAGCTTTGGCTAAATAAGTCTTCAGAGGTAAGATGATCATTTAACATGAATTCTTCAACCTACAAATAAAATTTTAACAGAAGCGTTAGTATAATGTTGGTCTGGGTACAGATCTTGTGAGTGTTTTGTTTTGTGACAAACCACAGGGTTTTTATGTGTACTCTGTGAAGAGCAGGGTGTGAGCCAGGCACACAGTGCTCAGTGAATTTTAATTATGCTGGATACTGTTGCTGTTATCAAAAGGTGGGAATTTAAATCAGAGCATATGTGTTTAAGGGGTATGGTTAAAAACATGTGCACTGGGGACTAGAGAGACAGCTCAGCACTTAAGAGGACCCGAGTTCAGTTCCGTATGTGAGCACATGGTAGCTCACAACTGTCAGTAACTGTATCTCATGGGATCTGTTGCCCTCTTCTGGTGTACAGATGTACATGCAGACAAAACACCCTTATGCATAAAATACATAAACACATCTTTTAAAGTACATATAGTGCATGAAAAAAAAAATTAGGAAGCTTTCCAGAGACCCTTAGTCAGCACTAAAGCACACTTAGCAGAGTCCAAGAAGGTAAAAGATTTCCAGGTGTCCAAAGCTGTGTAGATCCCCAAAGCACTGAAAACCAGAGACTATTGATTGACCTTTAAGAAGGCAGTTTCAGTGGGTGGTTGACATGGGCTCTGGAAGAGTTCGGCTGGAGAAAGATGGAGGAGCGCATTGTCTGTTACTATAAGGAGCTATCCCAAAATGGACTGTAGGGCCAGCAAGGTCAGCTGGCTTTAGGACCACGGGGCAGAAGGGAAAAAAACTGGTTCTGCAAGCTGTCTCTGACCACCACCATCACCACAACCACCTTGAGATTTGAGACTTGAAAAGCAACTAGGCTCTCTGGGGTTTGGAGTGAGAACCGGAGAGGGGCAGGCTTAGCTGTAATACTGAGCTACAGCAGACACTGCCCCAAATGAATTACCTTTGCCCGAACCCCAGCTCTTATAGCCTGTCCAATCAGAAAGTACGAGATGGCAGTGGTTTGGGTTGGTTTGTTTTTATTTAGTTTGAGGGTTTGTTTTTTTGTTTTTTTTGGGTTTTTTTGGTTTGGTTTGGTTTTGGGGGTGTTTTGTTTTGTTTTGCGAAACAGGGTTTGTCTGTATAACTGCCCTGGCTATCCCAGAACTTGCTTTGTAGACCAAACTGGCCTTGAACTCACAGACACCTGCCTGCCTCTGCCACCACAACCAGGCTAGCAGTGTTTTTTTTTATTAAGATATATTTTTGTTAATTTTATTTTTGTTTGAGGGTGTCCGTGTGGGTGTCAGCCGAGGCCAGAGGAGAGTTGAGAGCAGCCTGGCACAGGGGAAGGGCCTAAACTCAGGTCTTCTAGAACAGCAAGCACTCTCCAGCCATAGCATTTTTTAAACAAAACGCCAACTATTGAGTTAGTAAGAACAGTAATGGGGAGTGCGAGACACCCACATAGACATGCTTTATTCCCATTTAGGAAATGTGATGTGGGAGTGTCATATCAATCTGTTGATTTCATTGGCTGAGCAATAAAAGAAACTGCTTGGCTGGCCCTGATAGGTTAGAACATAGATGGGAGGAGGAAACAGAATAGAATTCTGGGCGGAAGAGGAAGGGAGGTCAGACTCTGCGCTGCTTCCAGACGGACCGGACAGCCGCCATGCTCTGCTCTCCCAGGCAGCTGCAACCCACGATGGACTTAGGCTAGAATCTTCCCGGTAAGCGCACCTTGGGGTGCTTACACACATCATTAGAAATGGGCTAGTCCAGGTGAGAGAATTAGCCTGTAAGGGCTAGAGTTCATGGGCCAAGCAGTTCTTAAATGAATACAGTTTGTGTGTTGTTATTTCGGGCATGAGCTAGCCAAGCGGCCAGGGTGTTGGGGACGCAGCCCCGCTGCCGCTCCTTATTTCAACAGAAATGGTCTTTAATTCCATCAGTTCCAGCAGGAGCAAGAAATAACATACTCTTCACTATTTAGAATTCATGTTCTCAGCAATCGCATCCAAAAATGTCTACAGTAGAAATAGCTCCACAAGGTGTACTATTTTTGTTTTTTCTGAAAATGGGTTTCCAAACTGTCTGATTGATTTTTTTTTTCCTCAGTCAGAAGGAGGGAATTTGATAATGAGTCTACCCATCCCCAAATAGTGATTGACCCCAGGGCTTTCTACATGCTGGGCAAATGCTCTACCTCAGACTGCATCTCCAGATTGCACTGAGCTCCTGTCTCCTCCCTCATATTCCTCCCTCCACCCAGCCATATCACTCCTGTCTTCACCTCCCTAAGTGCTGGGATTAAAGGCACAGGATCCCAAGTTCTGGGATTGAGGGTGTGAGCCGCCAGGGCCTGACCACTAGTGGCTTCACTCTGCACTCTGATCTGCAGACAAGCTTTATTTGTTAAAACACAAACATCACTACACCAGCTCTAGGAGAATCTGGGGTTTCTGGCTTACCAGCTCTGGAGATTAACACACACACACACACACACACACACACATTTTTAAAAGCAGTATTGGAACGTTTGGTTTTACTGGGAGAGAGACGTTATAAAGGTGCTTTTCTGTTTGCTGTGTGAAGTGTACTGTAGAATGTGGCGAATACTCTTGCCAATGATGCTTTTTTTTCTCTGAAAAAGATTTACATAAAAACAGTCAAATTTTTAATTGCCATTTTGTCATCTCCTTGGTTGATGCATCTACATTGGCTGTTTGAATGAAGTTGTCATTTCTTTAAAAAGGGGGGGGGCATTCACTTCTGTTAGCCACACGCCCAGGTGGCATAGCAGCGCCGTCCTGAGATAGTTGATAGTGTGCATCGTTAGCCTTGATATGGTCTGTGGGAAAGGGCACCAGGCGGTGGTTCCTGCTGACCTCTGGAGTGAACCTGCTGTATTTCCTTCTCCAGTCCTCCCTCTCTTCCTTTCTTCCCACACTGCCCTCCGACTTTCTTCAGCTGGAAAGGTTTCCAATTTTATTCTGAGAATGTGAGCAGAAGAGAAGTGTGTACAGATGGGAAAAGTGTGTACAGATGAGAAGGAGTGTGAATAGGTGAGGAGTGTGTACAGGTGAGGAGTGTGAACATATGGGTGTGTACAGATAAAGATTGTTAAGAGATGACGAGTGTATTCAAATGAGAACAAAAGATTTCATTTCAGTTCCAGAAATGAGGCCAGAAGTAAAAGCTAACGTGGGTTCCTTGTGTCCTAAGCAAGTAGATAGCAAAGAAGTGCATTATTTTCATTTTCTTTTTTCTTGGTTTTAGAGAAAATGCTCATATCCTAATAAAACTTGGTTTGAGATACCAAAGAGATAGATTAGATAGATAGATAGATAGATAGATAGATAGATAGATAGATAGATAGATAGATAGATGATAGATGATAGATAGAACCATGCTCCTCTTCCAGAGGACTCAGGTTTGGTTCCACTCCAGGCCAATGCCCTCTTCTGGTCTCTCTCTCTGGGCACTGTTTGCATGTGGCATTATATACACACATGCACACACATAAATAAAATAAAATCTTTTATAAAAAAAAAAAACAGCGTGCTATCAGACTCCCCTGTTTGCACCTTTGGGTCAGCAGTAGAGCTGAAAGTGGCCCTTCTATCCCAAGGCTCTGTCTCAGCCACGAGTCTCCATCTGTATTCTGTCCTGTGTGTGTCTTCATTCTTCATTTTGCACATACTGCCATTAGAAATTTTCTAAATTTTTAATGCAGTGAAAATGTAGTTAAAGATTAACCACTGTCCATTCTTTTTCCCTATTAAGTAGGGGGAAAGTGTAAAAGGTTCCAGAACTGATACAGACACAACCACACATTTCTCCTCTAGTTTAGAAGTTGAGATGTCTGCTGACAATGAGGATGCTGACCAGTTCTAATGCATCTTTGCTGCCTTTTATTTATTTTGAAACAGGGCCTCAGTATGTAACTGGCTGGGCTGGAGCTCACTGTCCAGACCAGCCTGGTCTCCAAGTCACAGAGCTCTGCTGCCTTTGCCTCCAGATTATGTGTGTGTGGGGGGGGGGATTAAACGTGTGACCACCATGGTCGACCTTTTGTTCTGCTTTGTTTGCTGCCATTGGGTCATACCTCTCATTTTGACTTGTATGTGATTGTGTAAGTGAGTTAGTTCAGGGTCCAGGAGTGTACTCTCCCTGTGCAGAAAAGTTTATTCTACCCCTTGGGCCAGCAAGCACTTTGAAATAGTGCTTGGGTCTTGCGTTAATGCATCACAACCTAAGCAAGCAGCGTGCACGGGAGCTCTCTGAGAAGATGGTACTTCAACAGGACTTAAGAATGTGAGAAAAAAAAGAATGTGAGTTGGTCAGGTACTATATAAACTAATTGAATTAGTTGTGACTTATGCAAAAAGCAGAACTTAGAAAAGACTAGAAGACATAGAGAATTTTGAAGTCTTACATCATACGTTTACTCAGCTGGCCAGACGGTCAGGGTGCTCATTAATGGCCTAAGCACTAGATAGCTTTCTCACATGCAAAGGGTCTGAATCCTGTTGGTAAGCAAGTGTGTTTTAATAACCACCACTCCCTAAGGAGGAAGAGTCTAATGGTATGAAAGGCTTTTTCTTTATAATTGGTTTCTTCCTAAGCAGGTGTTTATGGACTAATTGGATTCCTAAATCACTCATCTCTTCCAATTACTTGTTCCAGGCATTTGCTGTTTTGTGAGATTTTATCTCTAAAGGAACACTAGCTTGAAACACAAATCATCTGAATATTTCGTGGACAGTAAATGGAACCCCTCCCCCTTCTTTCTTGATTTTTTTTTTAAGGCAGTCTCTGCCTCCTGGGAACTGGGACCATGGGCACGTGCCACAGAGTTGTGCATTCTAGTGTTTTTCTCATCAGAAGGGTTTGGAGTAAATGACCTAGGAGATGAAAATCACTGACCAAGAAGTATGACATTCTTCCACTTCCTGTTTCCCAGTAGTGTTGGGTACTGTAAAAAAAGACTTGAGGGTGTCTTTCTTTCATCATTACAAGGACCTGTATTTGAATATTAGTTATGAACAAATTGACTCTACATGATGAATGGAATTGATTTGCAGAGTGATGTTGAGGCTCCTGATAGGTCGAGTAAGTCAAGGGCAGCGATGGCATTTTCAAGATTAAATTCCACTGGGAAGTGAAATAATACATAAGGACTGAAAAATTACAGTATTGTGACGGCCCTTGGGTCATCTCCCAGACATGGCTGAGGTGTGCTGAGACATCTGTGTTGGTACAGTGATGGCTGGACCCTCGGTCACCCCACAGATGTACTGGAGGTGTGCTGGACCATACTTCTGTGTTGGTGCAAAGTTCTTAGGAGAAGCTCGCTGAACTTTCTCTTTCTTTCTATTATTTACTATGTATGTGTGTTTTGACTGTGTGTGTATTATCGTCTTACCATGTGTGTTCCTGGTACCCGCAGTGGCCAGAGAGATTGGCTCCACTGAAACTGGAGATAACAGATGGTTGTGAGTCACCATGTGGGTGCTAGGAATCCAACCCTGATCCTCTGTTAGGACAGCGAGTGCCAACTCTAACCCTTCTAGTTGCTTTTTAAAAATGCTTTGTTTTTACTGTGTGGAGGAGGTGTGCGTGCCCCTTCTAGGGACTTCATTCTCCTTCTAACATGGGCTTCAGGAATTAAATTCATGTCATCAGGCTTACATGGCAATAACTTTTGCCTGCTCAGCCACCTCACTGGTCCCGTCTGTTTTTATGAGGCATGGCTTCTGCCCTGTACTTTAGAGAAACCTGAAAAGAACATTGAGATTAGTTGTGGTTTAGGATTCCCTACTGATTTGAACTTGATTAGCTCCAACAGTGTAGTGGGATGTCAGTCTTTTCTCCACTTTCTTCCTGAAAATCTTCTCAACGCAGGTATTTGAGATGAGCAGGACAGAACTGAACAAGGCACATGAGAATTGCCTTATTGTTAATAATATTTTTAAGTAAATAGTTTGTTTGCTATTGGGAAGTTTTTGCAGGTGGGGAGTTCAGGGTATTTATTTATTTATTTATTTTTGGCTGCCGTGTGCTGCCAGCACAGCTACCCCTAGCAGATTTCATCTTGGAATCGTCAGGTCAGCGGTCACATTGTTAGTGGTTTCCACATATCCCCCGGCAGTGAGCCGTTTCCTCTTCTGGGCTCTGCAAATCGGGTTATGTTTAATGATTTGTTTACAGTCTGCTTTCTCTTATTAAACTGTCAGTTTGTCCTGTCATGACCTTGAGAAGAGGGACTTTGTCTTATTCTCCCATGGCCCCACCATGGTTTTCCTGTGGTGGACTATGAACAGTGAATAAGTGGGGGAAGGGCCCAAAGAAACCATACAGGCCTGGTAACTTCACAAACCAAGTGCTTGGTTGGCTTGTCACTCTTAATGTCCCTGGTAATTCGCAGACTCCGAACAGATCTCTGTTGCTTCATTTATCCTTTTCCTGAGGGAGCGCTATGTAGAGCCACCATCCATCCCTCTGTGTGATTCTGCAAACACTGTGCTGTGTTTTCATTTTTTTTAAGTTCTGCCTTCATATGGGATCACATCTCAGTCAGATATGCTAGGATAATAAGAAACCTTTTTTTTAGTACATTATTTTGCTCATCTGGGTAGTTGGTATTTTTTTATTGTTTCCTTAAAACAGGATAGGTTGTCATGATTTTAATCTGAAATGTCCTCCTGTGTTCATATTGAACCCAGCTCCCTAAATGGTGGTGCTAGTTGGGGAAGCTGTGGAACTTTTAGGAGGTGAACTTTGAAGACTGTACTCAGCCCCTCACTCCTGTGTGGCGTTCTCTCAGCTTTTTGGTCTCCTGTGATGTGATCAGCCACTAACACCCAGCCCTTGGTGAGGAAGTGAGCCACTTGGGCATGCCTTCCCTGCCACAATGGAATACACATAACTGAAAACAAGTGGCCCCTCCCTGACGTTGCCTCTGTCAGAGATTCTGCCTGAACAGGGCAAAAATAATGGGTAGAAAAATTTGGGGAGTAAAACTGCTGTAACTAAACTTGACAATGTGGGCATTAGGTTTTGAGAAATGGTGTGAGAGGAATGTGCAGGAGTTTGGAAATATAGACTAAAGCACCCTAGAATGATGTAAGCGGAGCTGAGGACCATTCTGGTAGGAGTTTGGAAAACTAGAACCTGTTGAAACATACAGTAAAGACTGTTCTCTGAGGTTTAGAAGGGATCAATGACTATTGGAAATTGGACTGGAAACGGTCATGTTACATTGCAGCAAAGAATCTGTTGGTAGTTTATGCCTGTCCTGAAGCCTTGAATGAATATAAACTGAAAAATGATGAGCTAATTAGCTGAAAAAAGAACCTTTCAAGACAGTGTAGCATTCAGTCTATGACATGTTTTTGCCTGCTGCTTTTAACCAGTTCACAGTGAGCACCAGGAGCTTAGACGCAGGGGAGAAATGCATGGGGAGCCATGCATTTTGGCCAAAAGTAGCTCATTTAAAGTTGCACGGAAACCATTAAAGACAAGCCCCACTGTTTACACAAGAATGTTAAAAGTGCCTTGGATATTTCAGAAGTTGAGGAATTCCCATTCCTGGTACCAAAATAATTAGTAATCAAGGTTTTGTAGAGGATCAAAACTAAAAGAAAAAACTGTGAGAGAGACAGGCAGACAGAACGGTACAAGGGGATTTACTTGAGTGGCTTGCATAATAGAAGGCGAGGAAGCTCGATAATGGCAACCTGCACACTGGACAGTCCTGGTTGCTGAGTCCACATAGAAAGGCTGAGAAGCTGAACTTTGATGTCCACAGATAATGTCAGCGGTGCTCACGTACTTGCTTGGGAAGAATAGAGCTTGCACATGTGCCCTGGCTTCCTCCTCTTCTCAGTTAGATCCATAGAATCTCCACCCACATTTATGGTGAATCTTTCTCCCACCACCCCCCACTTTCCCATGTCAGTCCTTGGGAAATGCCCTCCAAAATTTACCCAGGGCTGTGCATCGCCAGGCCTAGACATCTCTCAGTGAAATCATTTTTTTTTGTTTTTTGTTTTTCGAGACAGGGTTTCTCTGTGGCTTTGGAGCCTGTCCTGGAACTAGCTCTGTAGACCAGGCTGGTCTCGAACTCACAGAGATCCACCTGCCTCTGCCTCCCGAGTGCTGGGATTAAAGGCGTGAGCCACCAGCGCCCGGCAGTGAAATCATTTTAATAATTAAGTTCAGCAGTTGGTCTCACTGTAGCTACAGCTGGCCTCTACCTCACACTCCTCTCGTCTGGACTTTCCTAGATGCTGGCATATGAACATTATGTTTGGCTTAGTGAGCTGGGAAGGCTTTGTTACAGAACTGTCCTGCTAAGGAACTCTTCATTAGGTAATAGAGTCTAATTCCTGTGGGAGATAATAAGCCTCCTATATTGTAGCTCTCATTCTCTTTATCAGTTGATAATGATTTCTGCTGTTTAAAGGGACTCTTCCTTTGCATTTTGGATTGTGAAGGTAGTTTTATTGACTTCTTTATTTTTTTAAGACTGGGATTGTTTTCTTTCTTAGTGTAAAAAGTCTTAAGTTGATCAGAATTGAAATTAGCAAAATCTTAACCTAAAAAAGAAGGGGAGGATTATGAGCCATATGTGCAACCTTCCAGTTTTAGCAAGCTGTTGGCCTGCTTTCTTATATTTCAGACTATATAATTAAGCAATTTTGCCCTCTGGTTTTAATTTTCGTTACAGCAGTTTCAGAGAAAGGGGGTGCTTTAGACTGTGTGTTAAATTTGGTTTTAAGATAGCCCCAATTAACATATTTTAAAAGTATTATACCATTAACATTCAACAAGGTATTTGCAGTACATTTGGTAAAGTAGTTTGCCCTTCTCATATTAGTTACCATCTTGTGAAAGATGCATGAAATGTAGAAGAAATGCAGTCAGCCATTAAATGAGTCAGCTTTTGACTAGGTGGCTTTATATGATTTTTGTCACTCTCACAGAAAACCCATAGGATTAGATTGTTAGAAGTGTTTTCCTTACCAGAAAGCTGAGGCTAGATGACCTGTCTGGCACCAGACTCCAGGGTGGATGCCTTTGACCATTAATTAGGGTGGACTGCTTCCTGCAGGACGCACATCCGTGGACAGAACCGTGGAGTGGCCTGCAGGCCCGCACATCCACGAACAGAACCGTGGAGCAGCATGGCGTATTCTCTCTGTCAGGTGTGCGAAGAAGAAAAGTGGTCGTCAGTGTTCGGTCTGAGCCAGGATACAGGGACCGAAGAAATGGGGTGTGCTTGAGTGCATGTATAAGTTTTCGGCTCTTTAAAGAGGACAGTATAGACCTAAAGCTGTACACACTCTCTGATATTCTTTCCGCATTTAGGAATTATCCTTTGTAGCTAAACACACAAAAATGCAGGAAGATACACAATGACACTTTTTTTAATTACTTATAGCTAGAAATTGAACATAGGTGTCTGTTAGTGCCCAGGGTTAACTAAGTAGCAGGAAGCCATCTAATGAAAGTTAGGGACATGGGACCTTTGTGAGAACGGTCTGCTGCGGTAACCTCCTATGTACACAACCTTTGGTCTCAAGGTGTATTTCAGCAGACTATCTTTTGATCATTAACAAAATGCCTGGGCTCTGGGGACTCTCACAGTTCCAGGTTTTATCAGAAGCATGACTCAGCCTCAGTTGTGCCTCGGTTTCTTCAGTAAGCCACTTGGACTGTGAGGTGAGGCCCGCGTGGGTCGGTGAGGTGCTAGACATAGTAGTGAATCCGAGCAGCTGCCGTCGTCTCTGCAGGGTGGAAGACAGGAACTTCAGTTCTCTTTCTGTCTTTCATGTGTTGAATTTTGAAATAGTATAACAGGGTCCGGTGGGGGCGGGGGAGGGCGGGGAGACTTTAATCCCAGCACTCAGGAGACAGAGGCAGGTGGATCTCTGCGTTTGAGGCCAGCCTAGTCTACAGAGTGAATTCTAGGACACCCAGGGCTACAGAGAGAAGCCCTGTCTCGAAAAAAAAAGAAAAAAAATCAAAAGAAGTCCTTTTATTGTACTTACAAGCAGAAAATGCCCAATTATTTAGAGCGTTTATTTTAAATTTCTCACTAAGCATTCCCTTTGAAAGCTATCTGTAATCGTATACCTTGGTATTTTACCCCATTTTCTATTCCACATTTAAGGAAATTGAAGTCATATTTTATTTTTTGGCTAGAAGGCAAGCTTAATCATAACACATTCTTCCTGGAGAAACTGCTTTAATTTGCGGCTGCAATGACAGGCTAGAGTGTGACGTCAGTGTGGTGTCAGACTTCAGAGTGGCAGGCCAGCCTGAAAGCCACAGTGCTCCTTGGTGTTTGGTCCTCACAGGACTCACTGAGAGCCGCTGGGAGACAAAGGAGTTGATTCTGTTTCCATTCCCGGTCCGAGTGTCTTGAAGGAGGTGAGTGACTGGTCTGTGATGATCACTCTGCACCCGGTGCCACGCAGGTACCCAGCGCAGAGGGCTTGCATATCCTAATACTTCTAAACTGTTAGAGGCGTGTGAATATGCTTATCCGGTTTGCACATGATTTGGCCATTTTAAGAAATCAGTGTCAGAAATGACTTCCTCTTTGTCTGTCCTTAACTTCCAGCTACGTTAATATATCATAGACATGATTTACTTTAAAGCCAAGATTTCTTTTTTAAACAAATCAGTTTACCTTAATTTTTTAACCTACTTAGATGAGAAGTTGGGTACACCCGCCTCAGAATTAGATGAATAATTCTTCAAATATTCTTTTGGAAAATATAGACAATACTGATGAATAATGTTTAAAATTTCAGTGTAGCTTAAATTAACACTTAGTTTAAATTTCCTTTGTTTCGCTAATCTGGGGCTGTTTCTGTGATGTGATTCAAAGTAGGAGTCCTTACTAACCTAAACTTTAAGAACAAAATGCTAGCAGAAAATTTTATATTACAGACAGTGTTTTTTTTCTACTGGAAGAAGTTTTAGGAACATAAGTTGTGGAGGCCAGCAAATGTGACTTTAAGAATTTACTCTTACTTGAAATACCAATTCAAATTTCTTTGAATTACAATATAAATGTATTTTATTGGAAAGCATGATATAAGAAAGTTATATTGTCTGAGCCTCCTTTTATTTTTGAAAGACTCTTTTACTACAATTTCTTTGCTTTATGGATACATTGTTTATGTTGTGCATATTGGAGCTTTTAAGTCTTCCTAGTGACTTATGGCATTAAGCTTTTTATGAAGGTTCAGCGGCAGTTTTGATTCCAACTTAAGAATAGAAGATTTATATGAGGAAAGGGCAATAATTCCTAATAAGTATTTTTGTCTCAATTTTATATAACAAATAGGAATGATTTATTATATGTGTTTTTATATGAATAATTATTTTTGGCATTATGTAGAATTTCAAATTTAAGGGCTAGGTTGCCACCTTACGACTTGCAGTGTAGTATTTTACTTACATATTTGAAAGCATAGAAATGGGGCTTCATGTTCGTTTTATTGAACTTGACAGCGTTAAGATTCACAGTTTTTCCCTGAAGTTGCTGAGTTTTCAGCTTCTACCTAGGACTTAGCCCAAAGCTAGAAAATTTAAGAAGCACTGTGTATGGAAAAGTCATGGGTATTTCTAGTCTCTTTAAAAATTTATCATGAATTCACTTAAAATATTTGAACGTGTTTTTAAGTCTGTGTTTTAAACCAAAGCAGTGTGTTGCCATGGTATGGTGCCTTGGAACAGATGGGGCACACACAGCTCAGACAAAGACGGTTTTGAGGCATTATGACATCAGAGGTCACTGGCTGCCACCAAAGTTCAAGTGAGAAGGGTCTGCTGTAACTTCTTTTTGAATGAACAGGAAATTAAATCTGACAGAAGGATGGTAAGCATAGCTGTAGGGAGATGACTCGCTGTGGACCTACAAGATTCCCTGGCTCTAAAGTAGTAGAAGGCAGTTATACTTGGAAAGACGCTGCTGTGGTAACTCAGATGGCTGTCTCAGCCCTTTTCAGGCTTCCACTCTATAGTTCATTCTCTTGTGGTAAGCAGAACAAAACATTGGACATATTAGATGCTTGAGCACATGTCAGCGTGAATAACTAAAGTTACGAAGCAAGTTAAGAGAGAAAAGAATCTCTGTATTCGAGAGATCCCATCTTACTGCAAAGGTCCAAGCCTGACCCACAGACCTAGCCAGCTGATAATCTTCCACACCAGCCTTGTAGGAGTCAGTGTCTCCAGACGCAGGACCCGCACTTCTGCCCTCGTGGATAGTTGTCCCCACTCTACTCATCTCCGAGAGGAAGTGGGCCTCACTCAGCTCTTGCCCTGGGTACCCTGCAGCAATTGGTTGGTGACTAAACTGGACTGTAAGTGCTGGGTAAACTTTACTCTGCTGCCCATATTTTGTCTAGAGCTCTGTTACTTTTTGTCGCTATGGGCTTGCTTGCGTTTGAGGCTGTGTTGCAGGGCTCACTTGAATGAATGAAAAGCAATAGATGAAAGGAAGTTGATCTTGTTTCACATGGGCGTTATTTGACTTATGCTCATGAGAAAATTGTTTTAATACAGCTCATGTAGTTTTCTAAAAATAAGTAAACACTGTAGAGTGAACAATAAGTGAATTAAGATGCTGGAGAGTTGGCTCAGTGGTTGAGAGCACCTGCTGCTCTTCCGGGGAACGCATGTTCAGTTCTCCACATCTACATGGCACCTCATAGCCATCTATAACTCCAGTTCCAAGGTGCGCAACTCCCCTTTCTGGCTTCCTCGGGAACTGCATGTACACGGTACACTTAAATACTTGCAGACAAAAAACCATGCACATGAAATTTAAAACTAAAAAATTTTAAAAGACTAGTAAATTAAATCATTAACGTTTTTCTATTTGAATTGTATGGTTTACTTGGCTCTCAAGTTTGACTCTTAAGAATGCTTCCTTCCCAACAAAGCAGTCAGAGTGCTTTAAACTGTGTGGTTAGTGTGTAGGGTAGAGGTGGGTTCCGTGTCTAGAGTGAAAGCCTAAGAACTAAGGCTTGAACTTGGTTTTTTTTTCTAGTTTGCTGTTTGCTTCCTTCCCAGTGGTACAATAAATGTCTATTTAATCGATGTTACTAAGGACTATTACTAATTAGCATTCATTAGGGAGTGGTAGAGTTGTCTGAATTCATGAAGTTATAGGTTATATACTTTTAAATGCCAAATTCTTGCTTTTAAATGACAAAGGGAATATTGTTGAATGTTTCTAGTTGAGGTTCTAAGTTTTGTGACAATATTTTTTGTACAAATTTCTTTGCCATTTTTTGAATAGTCCTTTAAACCACTGTAATATACCCCGTAATCATTTTTATTGTGCTATGTGGCTTTGTATGAGCTTTTCCACTCTAGGTCAACAATAACTTCTAAGCATAGGCTGCATTCCTTGTCCAGGAAACTGTAGTTGTCTGTGTCATTTTATTTCATATTAAAGATGATGCAGGTAGCCATAATCTTTTAAATCAAGGAAACACCCGGTTGTATTTGTCTTTAGCAACCAATTCTTCTAGCACATTCTAGTTCAACCACGATTTGGTAAGGCGTACTCATTAATATGACTTGATGCTACCAAACACTCTATCCTTCCAATTATATGTTGTTATTTTTCTTTGGTGCACATTTTACATGAAGAAGTAGTTACATCGATGTAGATTAAAGATCTTTCTAAAATGTCTTAGGATCAGAAAAACATGTGTTTGTAACAGGCACAGAAATGTATTTGGTAATTTGCAATGGAAACTTTAAGAAGTAGATAAGCTGGATGTTCTGTGTATGTGCAGCCCCCCACTCCAGCACCAGCACCGCCCACCTTCCCAGGGTGCACAGCTGCAGTGCACCAGTGCCTGAGGTGTTGCAGGCTGTCTTCTCTCAGGGGATGAGTTCTACCCATTACCAGAAACGCCATGGCTTCAGTTTTTTATACTTGGCAGACAATCACCCTGTTTTGTTTTTGGTTTTATTTTTTTGTTTGTTTGTTTTTGTTTTTTTTCTGGTTTTTCAAGGCAGAGTTTCTCTGTAGCTTTGGAGCCTGTCCTGGAACTAGCTCTTGTAGACCAGGCTGGCCTCAAACTCACAGAGATCCGCCTGCCTCTGCCTCCTGAGTGCCGGGATTAAAGGGTACGTCACTATAACCCAGCCATCCTAAATTTTTATGCATATCTTAAATTCATATTTCTATCTTGACCGTACAATGCTAGCTATTTTCATTAAGACAAGCATCCTAGCCAGGTAGTAATAACACACAGCTTTAATCCCAGCACTGGGGAGGCAGAAGCAGACAGATCTCTGAGTTTGAGGACAGCCAGGGCTACCCAGAGAAACCCTGTCTGGGGTAGAAGGGTAAACATCCTAAGTCGTACTCATAACCAGTTGTCTTTGGGTAAAGGAGTGGGTTGGAATTATTTTAGTCTTTTTTTTTTTTTTTTTTGCCTTTAATTTACCAAGTGGTCCAAGATATAGCCCTGTT